GGAGGGTACGACACTACTTGAGAAGATGGGTCGAAGCTAGCAAGTGTGACAAAACATTTGACGGACTGTTTGACCTACTCTTAAAAGACAAAATAGAGAGAACAGTCGGACAAGACGTAAGACAGCACATCCTCAGGCAAAACCCGAGGACAATAGCAGACGTAGAAAATGCCTGTGACAACTACTTTGACATCTACCCAGACAGAAAATTAAAACCGATCGACGTGACAGAGGACGCATTTGTTGCCCCCATGGCACTTGCATCAGGATCTAGGAATCCCTTTAGAGAGGACAAGGACAAACGAACCCTAAGACCTAGATCTAAGAGCCCCATTAGAGAGGAATGGGGCACAAGAAATGAAGTCACCCTTCAACGGGAGAGAAGAGGACAAAGCCCGGTCCAACCTAGGCCGAGTAGTAATATTAGTCCCAGAAGAAGCCCAATCACATGCTTTAACTGTGGGGCTGAGGGGCACATAGCGGCGGGGTGCCGGTCCAATCGTAGACAAATTGGACATGAGTACAGAGGGAGAAGGGTAGGCTTCAGGGACATTCAAGACATATGACTAGTACCAGAGTTCAGCGGGGAGTGCGGCGACTGTGGACAATGCCTAAGTCAAGTAAAGGGCGCTGTCCCTGTAGGGAACATTGGAGCTAATCGTAGATTCATAAGCGACAGAGGGTCACTTCCTATAGTTGCAGGAAAACTGGATGGGAGGACGGTGACCGTCCTACGGGATACGGGCTCAGTAGTCGTAGCTTGTCGAAAAGCTCTAGTCCCAAGAAATAGATGGACAAAAGAATGGATAACCATAAAGACCGCGGATGGAGATAAGAAAAGAGTACCAGGAGCTGTAGTCAACATAGAAACACCATACCTTACGGGAGAGTTCTTTGCCGTCCTTTTAGATGATCCACCCGCTGAACTTATAATAGGGAATGTAGCAGGCGCGAAATTACCGAGGGAAGATTCGCTAACATTAGCGGCGGTAGAAACCAGAGGACAACTTAGAGCAGGGGGCAACCAGAGAAATGAGCCGGGGCATAAGATTTTAGACCAAATAACGACATCGAAAGATTTTAAAACGCAACAGAGCGAAGACAAAACATTAGCTAGGTGGTGGAAGCTCGCGGAAAAGGGCAAACAATGTAAAACGATAGATGGGTTATTATATAAGATCATAAAACACAGCAAAACAGAAGATCAGATTAGACTAGCAATCCCAAGGGGACTTAGGCCCACCATCCTGAAATTAGGACACGACACACCTATGGCGGGGCACATGGGTGTAGCAAGAACGAAAGCCAGAATTCTGTCACAATTTAGCTGGCCAGGGGCAGGGGAGGATATCAGGCGTTACTGCGAAAGTTGTGATGTCTGCCAGAAAAGCAAAAAGAATGTTGGTGGCAAGGCGCCTCTGGGTAAAACTGAGGTAGTGGGACAACCGTTTGAGAAAATCGCCGTAGATATTGTGGGGCCACTAACTCAAACGAAAAAAAAAGAACAGATTCATACTCACAGCCGTAGACATATGCACACGGTGGCCAGAAGCCGTACCGCTGAAAAGTGTAACGGCAGCAGAGATCCAAGATGCGCTACTCTCCATCTTCACGAGGATGGGATTCCCGGAAGTCATACTCTCAGATAACGGGACCCAGTTCACGTCGGAAATTTTCTGCACCGTGTCTAAAATGTTGGGGATTAACCCATATTATCCCAAGGTCTCAAATTTTTATAATTTTTTGATATGGTTTAGCTTTTGGGCACTGAATGAAGGAATGACTATGGATTTTCTTTTAAAATCAATACTTTTTTAAATATCGATTTTTTAAAAAACGTCCCATAAATGGGACGCTAGCAACGAACGGCCCCATGTACATTTATTGAAAAATAAAATCATTTTTCACGAAATATGGCTAATCACGCGAAAATTAAGCTGTATACTGATTTTGTATTGTTAGACCAATGATTTCATTGTTTAGGACAGCTAAAAATACTGATAATGATCAATTGGGTTAGCCATACCATGGTCTAAAATGCAGAAATTATGTTCAAAAGTCTAGTTTTCTTTCAATCTAGCATCCATCAAAGTGAACAACACTTGGAAATAAGTAAAGCTGTGACTAGTACATCTAATTATACACACATAATCACAAATATTGTTATTATTCATCGAAACTGTAATATAATTAAATATAAATAATTGATTTTTTTGGGGGGCGTACTTGAAATTTTCAGGGATGGGGACTTAAATTTCAGGGGAAGGGTGGACATTGGTAAAAGTATGTTTTGTATATAAATTCCATTTTCTTCTGGGGGCAGAGCCCCCCGTCCCCTCCTCTGAAATGATGCCTGAAAGAAACTCTGCCCTTAGTGAATTTGCAAAAGATGATCTGGTCCAGTCCCAGATGTCATCCAGCCATCTTCTCTTTTGTTACCCTCGCTATTCCCCCCCCCCCCCACAGGCGTACATTAGGACATCATACATCTTATTTCTAGGGCACGGATCCGTCTCTGGGGGCTTGTATTGAGTGTTCATGACTCTCATCCATGTATGCACCTCACTATGCGAACAGCTCCCAATCTAACAGCAGTAATCTCCTTAAAAAGTTAACAAAGTAAAGCTGGTATCGGTAACCTTTGGAGGGGGATATTATTGGGGCATGACAACTGTACACAGCTAATTCACATTTCTGCTATAGGTAGCTTAAGCTCTCTTATATGAAGAGAGTTAATCAACCCCCATGACTGAATCATTTCACCTAAATCGTGGCCATTGTTATTATTCTGGTTTGTTATAATTTTAATATCACGCGCTAGTAAATTTACAGCAATACTAAATTAGTTTGTATTCAATGGTATTAAATACTTCAGTAAGTGTAATTCTGAAAATTTAAAAATAAAATGTAAGTTTTTCAATATTTGCAATTTTCTAATACAATAATATATAAGAAAATATAGCTCTAGGTCATAATTAAATATCTATAAATACTACTTAACCCCCCAAGGTCAACAGTTAACAAAGTCAACAATTGTTTCACCATAAATAACCATTTAACATAAATATTTGCATCTGTGTTTCACGCTATTGTCCAATAAATGTGACGTTTGTGTAACAATCTGCATAAATATAGGTCAAGGTCATAATTAAATATCTATAAATACTACTTAACACCCCAAAGTCAGCAGTTAACAAAGTCAACAATTTTTTCACCATAAATAACCATTTAACATAAACATTTGCATCTGTGTTTCTCGCTAGTGTCCAATAAATGTGACGTTTGTGTAACAATCTACATGGGGCCATTCGTTGCTAGTGTCCCACTTATGGGACGCTTGTTGTACACTTGATATAACGAAGTAGTAAAAACAAATTGTTATTCTTAAATTTTTATCAGATAGAAATATGGTACTGCTACAAGTTTCAAATGTATTTTGCACTTAAAATGTTAATATTTTAGAAGATATGCATTTTCCTGTGCGCATGTTTTCTTTTTTCCGCCATTTTGACAAGTCCTGCAAATCCGGCACTATAACATTTTTCTAAATTAATTTTTTTCACAAAACACACACAAATTCAATAGTCTAGCCATTTCTAAATACAATTAAACATAATTTGTGTTTTAACTAGTTTTTAATAAATTTTAGCAATTTTTTTTACAAGCGTCCCATAAGTGGGACGCTAGCAGAATATGGGTTAAAATCATTCACGCTTCGGCATATCACGCCATGGCCAACGGGGCGGTAGAACGATGGAATGGAACTTTAAAGGAAATGCTAAAGAAAGTAGCTATAGACAAGGATGACGATTGGGACGTGTTCATCCCAGCAGCACTTTTCGCCTACAGAGAAGTTCCAAACGAAAGCACTGGTTACCCGCCATTCGAACTTATGTTCGGCAGGAAAGTGAGGGGCCCGATGAGCATCCTAAAGGATATCCTCACAGGAGAAGTAAGGGAATATAAGACAAGAGCTGCATATGACTACATGCTGGACCTTAAGCAGTAGTTGCAAACGGCATGCAGTTATGCAACCCGCAAATCAGAAAATGAGAAAGATAAAGCAAAGAGCTACTACGATAGATCAGCCACAACCAAAGATATCAAAGTGGGGGATCATGTGCTGATACTGAAGCCCCAACTATTAAACAAACTTGAGCTAAGGTGGGCGGGACCTTACGAAGTCTTAAAAAAAATCGGAGACTTGGACTATGTTATTAAAACAGGGGACAGCACTAAGGTGGTCCATGTAAATCGGATGATGCTGTACCATCACAGACAAAAACCAGACGACAGCATGGGACACCCCATGTTAGCGGCAGTGTCAGGAGTGGTGGAGGCAGAAGAAGAAAACCAAGTATCACTAACAGATGAGGAGGACATGGAACCGGGTATTCCATTGGACACAATAAAAACTCCTGACATACTGGAGGAAACAAAGTTAAGTGATATCAAAATAGGAGACACCCTGACAAAAACACAGCGGACGGATCTAGACAAAATTATCCAAGAGTACACAGCTGTAATTAGCAACTTACCTGGTAAAACAAGTTTACTAGAACATAAAATAAAACTGACCAACACCAGAGCAATAAGAACGAAACCCTACTGCATACCATACGCCCGAAGAGAGCTTATGAAGAAAGAGATGGACGAAATGGAGAGACTGGGGATAATAGAGAGGTCCGACTCCGACTTCAGCGCACCCGTAGTGCTAGTTAAGAAAAAAGATGGGTCGACACGGTTCTGTGTAGACTATAAGAGACTTAACGCAGTCACTGTCTACGACGCGGAACCCATCCCAGATACAGATGAGCTGTTCGCTAAATTAAATAGGGCAAAATATTTTACTAAACTCGACCTCACAAAAGGGTATTGGCAGATCCCCATGCAAAATGACAGCAAAAAAACTCACCGCATTTGTCACACCCTGGGGCCTATTTCAGTTTAATTACCTGCCCTTTGGCCTATGCACGGCACCCGCCACATTCGCCAGATTAATGCGAGTCGTATTAAAAGACTTGGAAAATGTGGTGTCATTTTTTGATGACATCTGTATCTACAGCGAGACATGGGAGGAACACCTTATGGCAATAAAGGCGGTGTTCAATAGATTGAAGGACGCGGGCCTGACAGTAAGACCTGCCAAATTAGAGCTAGGGTTTGAAAAAATTAATTTCCTAGGGCACATAGTGGGGAGGGGGCTACTGACACCAGAGAGAAACAAGGTAAACAAAATCTTAAACGTAGCAATACCCACCACAAAGAAAGAGGTAAGATCATTAGTGGGTCTTATAGGGTATTATGCTAAATTTATACCAGAATTCAGCGAGGCCAACGCAATACTGACAGACTTGTTAGCAAAGGGTAAACCTGAAAAGGTCGTGTGGTCAGATGAATGTAACCGTGCTTTAAGACTGTTTCAGAAACACTTGAACTCAGAACCATTTCTTATTTTACCTAATATTAATGAGCAATTTATTCTCAGGACCGACGCCTCGTCACGAGGTATCGGGGCAGCCTTGATGCAAATGAGAAATGGGGTCCTAAGACCAGTAAAATACATCAGTAGAAAACTCCAACCGAGAGAGACTCGGTACTCTACTATAGAAAGAGAGTGCCTAGCAATTGTCTGGGCCACAGGCAAACTAGCGTTGTATTTATACAACGCTAGCTTTGTACTACAGACGGACCAGCGTGCTCTAAAATACCTTCATAAATGTAGGTTCAATAATGCCAGACTGACACGCTGGTCCTTACTGCTACAGGAATATACATTTACTATAGAACACATTCCGGGGAGGGATAATCTTCTAGCGGATTTTTTGTCAAGAAATTTTAAATCGGGAGTCTGAGATGTAAATTGTAATTTAAACCACAGATTTGTTGGTTTGTTTTTTTTTTTTGCTGTTTTTGTTTTCGGTTATTTTTACTCGGTTGTTTGTCTTTGATTCATGTACAAAGAGATGTATAAATGCATTATTTATTTACTCTCCTCTTGGTGTAGTATACCTGTCAAATCATTATTTTTTTATTTTTTTGTTTGTTTTTTTAAATTATTTTATTTATTTATTTATCTATTTTGTCTCTGTTTGTTTTCGCCCTCTAGGCTAACTTAGGATTTGGGGATTTAGTTAGTATTTGTAGTGTGTACTACAAATACTTGGGTGGGGGGTAGTGTTACGGGTCAGTTGTAGGTTAGACTAGAATAGGATAGAATGATCTAGAATTAGGGAAGAGTGAGTGTGTGAGTTGAGTTTACCCTAGAATTTTGTTAACCCCGGTGTGTTTGTGTATTGTTATCCTAAGGTCGAATGCGGTATAAAAGCTGGAGTGAATGGTTGTCAGGGTTAGTTAGTTGGCAGGGTTAGGTCGAGGGCTATGTTGTAATGTGATATGTGAGACCTAATAAACGTATCGAACGTTAACCCGAGTCGTTCTTGAATTCGAATCTAACCTGGACGTAACAATGCCTCGATGACCAACTTCTCAACCCCGCCGCCAGCCAGCCTTAAAAAGGGCTAGCCCAGGGGTCGGCAACCTGCGGCTCGCGAGCCGCATGCGGCTCTTTTGATATCAAGATGCGGCTCTCCAGCTCCTTGAACAAATACTAATAATCTAAATAAAAAATAAAATATTTGAAATTAAAAAAAATTTAGTGGCTCTTTAAAACCAGGGAAATTTTGAAAATCGTAACTTTTGGTTCTTCCGCTTCAAAAGGTTGCCGACCCCTGGGCTAGCCGACCAAATGACCAAGATTTATGTAGATCCATAACAGATACTACACTTTGATCTTAGCCAAAAGGCCGAGAAGCGATCAAATAAAAATAATTAACAAAAGTAGTTGGAGTTGTAGGTAGCGGTGCACTGATGGATAATCTGAATTATCAACAGTCTATAAGTTGCGCACTTATTATAGCTAGTGCGTTCATTTAAAAGCAAAATGACCATTCTTAACAGCCATAAAATTTATTCCAATTTTCAATAACCTTGAAAAAACACACTGATAACATTTACATTTATAATTCAAGTATTTCACTAAACATAAACAATTAACAGTTATTTATTTGTATAGGTTGCATCCCTTGAAAACTATGACTTATAATGATGGGAAGTAACTCGGCAAAATAATAGTCGAATTGTTCCAGTACTCGTGGTGTATGTTAAAAACCTTGGCTCTTTAAAGTAGAAATAAAATAGACATGTGCTAAGATACTTCGAACACACTTTCCAGGTCGTCACATCTGTGTCGTTTATAAAGCTACATAAATGCATTGTTTACATTTAGGGCATTGAGTCAAATACAGACGATATGAACATTTGAGTGATCGAGTTGATAGTTGAGTATAGGTCTTCAAAATTATCATGAGTTGAAAGTATATCGTTTTATCGAACCTAAAGAAGACCGACATCAGAGCAGAATGAAGAACAGATACTACACTTTGTTCTTATCCAAAAGACCGAGAAGCGAATAAACAAATAGTGTAACGAAAAGTAAAATATCATTAGGATGATAGATTTTTTTTCATTCTTGCAGGATTTTGTTTTCATTTACCTAATTCAAAAAATAATAAACCGGGAACTATTTCCCCTAAACTTTCTCGAATAGTCTTATATAACACTACGGGAAATGACACCTCGGGATAGAGACATGATTTGTAATCCATTTTAATTACTTAAATGTTTTAAAATATAATATAATCCCGTATAAAAAAATTGCGCAAAAAAATCTGTGTATAATAGTGCGGAATATTATTAGTACTTTATAAACTGACATGCGTTTTTTGAGAAATCAGAAATAGCGTAAATTAAAATTTATGGTCAACCGGATTTAAGTAAAATGCAGATAATTAGATCGTTTACCTACATGTGGCATTCATGTATCTAACTGAAACTGTACTCAAGTTATAGGGCTTTGAAAAATGTATATAGCAACATAATGTTCGTGGAATGAGAGGTAAGGTGTAGTAGCACAGCATTGTAAAAACTGGGGGAATCTTAAAGCTTTTCGTAACAATATCACACGTGTGTTGAATGGGGAATTTAGGGTAAATTTTATAACATTGTATGTGGAATGGAGTATCCTAGACAGCATTATCACGAAGATTATCTATAATGGTTAAGACATCTTTATCACATTTTATGTAGAAGGAGATCAGAGGGCTGTTTTATCAATTCCTATTTTGATTTTTTTTTTTTGTAAAACGTTGTCATAGTGTGTGTGTGAACAATGGAGCTTATAGGGCAACACAGTATAGGCCTAAACAGTTAAGAAAAAAAAGTAATAACGACTTAAGCATAGTTTAGATCACAGGAAGACAGACGTTAGACTATTCCCCTCCAACCCTGTTAAGATTTCTGTGAGAGGCCTTGACCTTTCCAAACCGTTATTGTGGGCGTTCCACAACCAAATTCCTTGGTCACAGACAATATGGATATACTAGACAATATACTTTTTTCTTTCTGTTTTCTTTGTTTGTGTTTTTATTCAAAAGTACTAACAACGTTAATTTAGTATCCAAGTAGACTGGCCAGTTATATGGATATACTAGACAATATACTTTTTTCTTTCTGTTTTCTTTGTTTGTGTTTTTATTCAAAAGTACTAACACCGTTAATTTAGTATCCAAGTAGACTGGCCAGTTATAGTAAACAGATTTTTTTCCGTACAAACAACATAACCAAACTACCCAGCATTCATTCTATAGCAACAACGTTCTCTACCTTCCATGTCACTATCTTTTATGCACGTGTGTTTGTGTATGTGTGTCTGTAAACACGATAACTTGAGTACCGTTACAGCAATGATGATGACATTTCATATATAAGTATTATATAAAATGTGTAGATAACTGGTAACTGGAAGGAGAACTTTTTCTACTTTCAAAAGCCTATAACTTGAGTACTATTTCATGAGGATCAATGACATTTTACATAAAAGTAAAAGATATAATTATCTGCCTTTTGTAAAATTTTTAGTAATTTCCATTGACCGGAAGTAGTAATTTACACTATTTCCGATTTCTCAAAAAACGCATGTTAATTTATAAAGTACTAATACTATTCCGCACTATTATGCATATTTGTATTAGATTTAGTAATTAAAAAAGGATTTAAAATATTGTCTATATCCCGATTAGCCATCCCCCGTAGTGTTATATAAGAATATTCGAGAAAGTTTAGGGGAGACCACTCCCGGTTTATTTTATTTCTCTAGTAATAAGAGATTCATAACAATTGCATAATCTGATTCATCAAGCGTTTTCCAATAATGCAGTTAATAAATTCAATAGTAGCTTTTTTAACCAAGCTACGGTTATTTAAAAATTACTATCACAACATACACAATTAATTCAGTTTTCTAACATGTTTATTATTCCTTTTTTTTTATTTCAAATTGATATAGGGCTACAATTTTTTTTTTTAAATTTAAAAAGTCTCTTTTGTTGGAAGCTTTGTTAACTTTAATTACTGGTTGTTGCCCCTAACGTTATGATTTAAGAGAAAGGGAAATAAGTAAGAATAAAACATGTTCTACATTTTAGATTAAATTTCAATTAATAAGAAAATATTAACTTTATATGTTATTTCTAGATGGTGAAAAACTGTTGTAGTTGAGACAGTAGCGTAGATACGATAGGACATTAGCTCATTTATGTTAGGACAGTAGTGTAGCTAGAATAATAGAGTAGCGTTGGTAGCCCAAGAAAGTAACGTAAAAAGGGAAGGACAGTAACGTAATTAGGTAACATGTCGCGTAGTTAGGTATGACAGTAACGTAGTTTGGTGAACGCATGTTCTGGTTCATCAACAAAATAAACCAGGACAATAGACATGTGTATTGAAGTTTTTAAGCAATTAATTCTTAAGTTAAATAGCAAGTAGTTTTTTCGGTAATGTTGTCGTTTGATTACGTTGCAGTACCATCTTTCTTGGTGTGTGGTTGGCGTACGCTCTGATTGATTAGAAGAAGACTGGTTGCAAGATTTGATGTACAAATTGCAAACGAGGGTTTCTTTCAGATATTATACGAAGCACTTGAAACTGTCGAGAGACACTCAGTGGGTTAGACACTGGCTAAAGCATATATAATACACTTTTTTTTTACATTTGTTTAGTTTTGTTTTGGTGTATTTAAATACATTTGTTTAGTTTTCGTTTGGTATGCATTTTTATTTAGGCTTGAAAAGTAAAAAAAAAAAAACAATACTGTATAAAAAGAAGAAAAGTACTGATTAATCTGAATGTGTGACATACCTAAACGTATGTATTTGATACCGCTAATAGTTTGTATATTCAACTAGCATACACAATTATAAAACAATCTCATTCAGAGGGGTCGCCAGGCGGGGGCTGGGGGTGCGGACAGCACCAGGTGACACCATTTACGGGGGTGACATCAATACAAATAAATTACAACATATATAGAATACTCTTTTGGCCAGTTAAACTAATGATTAAGTACAGTTAAAAAGTAATGTAACTACATAATGACGATTACAACAATGGGGGGGGGGGTGACACCATGATGTAACCTGCTAACTATAGAGAAAACAATGTTACACCCAGCTGTATTAACAACCGATATTAGATACCATCATTAGATTAAATGTGAACTTTTTAAAGCTTTGGCCGAGGGGGGGGGGGGGGGGAACCAACAGCAACATTTTACAGAGATAAAAAAAGTGTTGGAGGGGGGGAGGTGACACTTTGAGGTGCCACTGCCATTACAAAATATCTAGGCGCATCCAATTCTTAGCCTTTTATAAGGTGTTATATTTTACGAAAATCTACTAATTTAACGAAATATAAAAGAGTATAATTTAATTAAAAAAGAAAAATTAATTGATTAGGAAAGTATAAAGCCTATATTTGTTAAGGGCTTTAAAAAGAATGGCTGCTGTGGGCATCTATAATAATAGTTTCGCTGTCTATGTATCTATCTGTGTATCTATCTGACAAGAACGCTATAGAGAAAACACAAGCAATTTAAAAACATGCATAGTTAAACGAAAACGAAATATGACGTCATATTCAGAATGAAGTAGAAAATAATATCAAGCCGGAGAGTGCACACAGTAATATGACGTCATTGATTCTCGAGTAAACATTGAATAAAAAGGCAATTTTGTCTAATCTAAGTGAGTTGCGTGGAGAGTTTCATTCATACAATTCTTCGGGTAGGGGCGATGCCCCACCCCCGCGTAAGAACGTCTGAGCCCCCACCCCCCCCTCCCCAACTCAAAAGAATATTCTTCATCGATACTCTATAATAAAATTACCGCCCTGCTGGTGTCCATGCAGCTGTCAGCAGTCTGTATACGCTCTACTCCACATTTTCTTAGTGTTTTTATCGTGTTTGGTTTTCAGTATAATATTTGTATTGTAAAAATAAAATAATATCATTATTAAGGAACTGGCGAGCCGCATACTGACATCAAAAGAGGCATGCGGCTGGTCAGTCGCAGGGATAGAACAAAATTAGTATAATATAATCATCAATTTTTTTTTTTTTTTTTTTTTTTTTTTTAAATACTTTTATTTGCAATTAAAACAAGTACATCAGCATCGAATTTTTTAACATAATTTTGAACACCAAATGAAAACAAAAGGTTTTGCAAATGTACATAATGAATATTTACATGATGTCATGTATTTGATATATAAAAAAAAAACTGCAAAGGATGACAGTAAAAGGGGTGAAGGTCAAATGAAAGTGTCAGACGTCTGGGTGGGGAGAGGAAAGGACATTTTTCAGAGAGGGTCAATGGGACAGTGAAGCATTTTCTATGTAGGGAAACAACTTAAGTTGACTAGT